CATTAACTAACTCTCAAAGGGCCAATAATTTAGTTTGATATGCCGATAGTGAGTAAACATGCCTGATTACATCGCTTTAAAGCAGCTCTTTGCTCCTAAATAGCTTTACACCTTCCCATCTAGCGTCTGGACATCTTTCCAGTAGCCACTCCTGCAAAACTCGGTAGCCACGGGATGTTCACACTCCCACAGCTTTCCAAACTGTTCAAAGTTGGATCCCAACAGGTGCTAGATGGGGCCGGAACGATCTCCATAGGAGGAATGCTCTGCTTGAAAGCGTTGTAGTCAGGTCTCAAAACTCGTCAATCACGCCTTCCCTTGACAGCGCCGCCTTTTAATGGATGTGTTAGCGTCTCAGGCAGGATTGCCGGGTAGTCTCGCTAGGATAAGGTTCAGACCGCAGCAGCAAGAGCAAAATCGAAGGGAAGAAGCCAGTGTTGCTGATAGATCAACGTCGACGGCAATGGCATTAGATGAGGCATCAGCAAGCAACCTCTATTCCGGGCTCTCAATTCTTCCCATTCCCTCTTGCTTCCTTTTGAATCGGCCCTAATTCAGTGAGCACTCCGTTTCTTCGGATTCTGTTCCCTAGTGAGTCACTTGGCTATTCATTTCCGTTCCTATTTTTCCATTTCCGAAACCTACCATCCATATCCTGTAATCACATAATTTGCTTTTAGCAACGCCATTATGTAAACAAGTAGAGCGCTTTTTCTAGCATTATCCCCATTATGGGTAATTTGCTTTTAGCAACGCCATTATGTAAACAAGTAGAGCGCTTTTTCTAGCATTATCCCCATTATGGGTCTTGGGTCGATCAAAACCTCATTATATTTCGATAATGTTCACTTATGAGGGTCCATTCTGTATCGGCCGTGCCGCGTGGATTATTGTACCAGTCATATATCCGGGATTACGCCTACAGTTTCGGGTCATTACGGAGCTGAAATGATAGTTTGCTACAATTCTAGCAGTTGAGATGATTACTACGAAGAAGCCACGGCTATTCTGTTTCAAAAACTAAAGTCCTTGGCATCAATCAATTCCGTTTATGGGGTGGGCCATGCATCCGACTTCCATTCAGAGTCGTAGTGGCGTATTGAATGCTCACGTGGCCTGTACAATGACTTGCGGTGGCCTGCCTATGTACAAGTTAGTGCTTTTATCCTCGCAGACGAGTCTGGTTCCAATTAGGCGATCCCGGAAGGTTGGCTTGGGCGGATATCGATTGTTACCAAATTAAAGGTGGGGAAATTGGGTAAGGTGGTCAAGCGAGTTTTGTGCGAGCAGAGTTGCATGGTAGTAACTCCAAGGTCGAACCATACGAGTGTGGTATAATATACCCGAACGGCTGCCGCGCGGCGTCGGGGCCGCGAGGGGAAGATTTGGAGTTTCACTGAACAATACGGTAGCTGTGGCGAAACCACTGCCGGTTGCTTTGGGAATTCTAGTACAACGACGGCCATCCAGTGATAGAACCCTGGCTTCTTAACAACTTTGACTTTGCGCTCTGTTGGACTACTATCTGATAGAAAAGAATTACCTTTGACTTGATATTATAGTTATTTATGGGATGCCCCGAAAGCTATCTCGAGTAGTTTTGTCTTGAGATTGACACATACCCCATTAAATGGCTGCCCTCAGATGAAGGCATATCCCCTAGGGAGTTATAAGAGCACTTTTCTAGATTGGATTGGGCTGAATGGTCGGAAAGGTAAATTAGGATCTTCGGATGAGTTGAAGCGCTGAACATGGGGAGGAAGTAGTTTGGTTAGCAGAAAAAGTTACTTCGCTGTGAGCGCTGCTAGAGCAGGTGTCTAGGGTTCAGCAAAGGGCCCATAATTTTGGATAGTTTATAATGAACATCTGAGAATTTGCAAAGGTTTCATCGGGAAATCTCACATTACCACTGATGTGAAAATCCACTGGGACGTAAATCATTGGGACGAGTGGTCCATTTGGGATTTCAGCTGTTCCCGAATGATCTTTAGCGAAGCTCAGAACAAAGTGGTTTTTTTCTTGAGGCATCATTTCCTCAGAGGAACGAGCATATGTAGAAACAGAGCGATAAATCTTTCCTGTTGTAAAAGGGCAGGGAACTGGCCGAGTAACTTCCCTGGCTTAGGCTAAGCTCTTCTGAAGCTCTACTTTTCCAACAAAGAAGTAGCTTGCAGAATAGACGGAGGCAGAAAAGGCTTCAAGTGCAAATTTTCCGTATCAGAGGCCTCTTCGGCTCCGTCTGAATAAGAACCGAATAACAGCTAAACTTGTGTGAAAAAAAATTGTTGGTTAGGTCTCCATTTTTCATAGTTTAAGGAAGTCGGGAGTGAAGTTCAATTAAACTGAACAAATGAAAAATTAAATATGAAAAATTTTCACTGGTTGGATACGATGGATTGCTTATACTTTCCTTTCATAATCCACGAAAGAATATTGGAAAAAGGGAAAAAAAGGAAAATCATGCATCATTACCCCTGAACTTCATAGCAACCGGTGGTGTAGTAACAAGTGGCGCATTATCACACACGCATGGTCCAGAGATCAGACCCTCAGATCGACCCAATCCAACCAAGCCTTCCTTCCCCCGGTGTCAGTTACTGGATGCCAGAATCGTATGGGAGAATAAAAGCACTGACTCGGTTGGCCACCGCAAGTCATTGTATAGGTCACATACCCATTCAATGCGTCACTACGATTCTAAATGATGTAGAAGTCAGGGCGCATCCCCCAAGATTTATCAACACTGAAGACTATGGCTTTCTTTATTTAATGGGCCTCACAAATAAAAGATGCATGTATGCGGTTTGACAACACCCCGCTAGGACGTTTTACCTCGTTCAGAAAAGACTGCTTCTTCTAAAATTCAAAAGAAATTTTAAATTACAAGTTCCATAGTGTACTGTGTTCGTAGAAATTTCGAAAAGGGTAAGAAATATTAGCGATCTTCATCGATCGATCAAAAACGATCGCTTTGGCGATAGATCCGATGAAACAGGTGCCTCGTAATAATTTTACATCCCATTGGGCATTTTAAAGCCTCTCCGACAGATTGTTTTGGGTAGGCTATTGAATGTGGATTATGAAGCCATTACGACAGCTATCTACATCGATCATCATAAATTCATAGGTTTTTTCGAAGGGCGATGTCATGTCGTATATTAAGCCCCTGAATGAGCCCTCCCTTAGCCAGGACTTCGCTAATGCTTTGTGAACAATTGATTACAATGGAAAGCCTTAGAAAAACCCAATGTTTAGTGTTGACTGCTGTTTAGTATAGGATTAAGGCATGGCTTAGTAGAAAAGATCGCGCCAGCTCTCCTATTCCGGATCCTCCCTTTCCCTCCCCGATGTCGAAATATGGCTCCCACACCACTCTATTTAACTAGAAATGCTGACAAAGACAGATTCGGGGATAAATGTAAATCTCTCTGAAAAACTATTAGTTTTCCCATTTTGACTACTCTTTTTCCTGAAAAGCCCTCTACCCGCTCCTACCCACTCCTTCGCCTTCTCTCCCCCTCCCATATATGGCTCCATGCTACTCTATAATGAAAAATTAAAAAATAAAAACTGAAAGTTAAAGTAAATCGGGAGAGAAATTAGGATATGGATAGAACATTGTTTTTTGGAAAGTATCAATTAGGGCTGCCCTACTGTCTAGGGGACCCGAATGGGAGGTCACCCCTGGACAGATCGTAGAGACAATTGCCATTTAGTGAACCCACACAGTTCTCTCCTTCCGACCTGCTCTAGAACTTCTTAAAATGCATACCAAGGTCCTTTAAAGTTTCCTAATCTACGGTACCTATGCCCTACCCTAATCTTTCCCATTTAACTGTTCTGATCAGTAAAAGTCCATCGAAAATCCTCCAGTTTCCGCCTATTCAAAATGTAAGTCCTCATAAGTAAAGAGGCAAAAATTCAGAAGCAGTCGGTGATTGTGAAGGAACCGGAAACATCGCTCAGCAACAAAAGGCCATTTGGGAAAGGAAATAGTCTCCGAATCCGTACATGCTTGATTCGATCGAGTTTTTCACTTTGAATCTTTTCGTCTGCCTCGTATTCCAGGTGATAGAACAGTGCCGCTCCAGCCATTAGATACATGAACAGCGAGAAATACAGCGCTGCATGGGGCAGTGCCATCTTGACCCTCTGAAAGAGCAAAAATCGCTTTGTATCAGTCAAATTCAAACGACTAACCGCTTACCTTCTTCCATGTTATCGGTGTTTCCTCCTCGATCGCCGTTCCTTCCTCTTCTTCCACCTCCATGGTAATAAGCCTGGCCTGACACGCAGCACTTGCGGTGCTCTAAGAAGCTCGACGAAGGCAATGAGGCGTTGCTATTGCGGACGGAAACCGGCCATATGGGATCGCTCCGTTCGTGACATTCATGGGCCGAGAAAAACGAATTATGTTCCGAATGGATTAGTTGTCTTCATTGCACCTGCTCTACTGACAATCTGTAACAGAGATCGGCCCATTGGGAAGAAGCTCATAAGTGAGTCTTTTTCTGAAAGACCATTATTTTGGGCATAAATCATTTCACCCATAGACACTGTTCCGTGAAGAATCAATATCGACTATTGACTAGTTGGAAGCTCTATCTCTTGCCTGAGGGAGAAACCTTGGAAGTGAAAATTACATTAAGTTGGAGATCGATTCCCTGATAATGTAAACTTACGTTTTCATCCTCCATTAATGCAATTGACATGGCTTGCACTGTCTTCAAGTAAAAAGAAGGCAGCAACTACTTCTTCCAAGCTCCTTTATGTGATGCAGAACGGTTGTAGACGTTTCTCTAGTGTGCTTGTGGCTTTGGATCCATCCGAAATCTCTTGTATGTTCATGAACGTAGACCTTCGTAATGCCTGGAGAAGTCCAAAGTTCCAATTTGCCGCTGTTTGCCGCTGTTTGTTCGCTTGAGGTTCTTTCTGCAACACAGAATTTAGAGTTACATCCTCTGCATGAACAAAAATCTTAGAAACTCCCACACGGCCCATTTACTCAGAAAGACCGAAATAATAACTAGGTTGATGCATAAGTTCTTTTCCCCTACTTTTTTGTAAATATCTCAATAGCGAGCCAACCTGAAGATTAGCGGTATGCATCATCACCATTCTCTACTCGACGTCAACGTTGAGGCGGCTTGTCAATTCATTCATCCTCCCAGGAAGAAGGGGGCTTGGGATTGAAGGGTTGTGGAGTGCCTGTCTCACCTCATCCTCTTTCAAACTTTTTTCCGTCCAGAGAGCTTTGCAGGTGGCTTAACAGCTACTAGTCAGAAGGAGCAAGGTCAAGACTTCAGGGAGGTATGGCGGCAATCAGTCATCCGTACTTCTCCAGCTCGGCCTCGCCTTGTGCGGCGTGAGGTCGGGCATTGTTGTGATGGAAGTAGATTTCCGCATTCCATCCACGAGCACGGTCAAAGTGATCTTTCGATTTCAGCAGCTGGTTAACGCATGTGAATGGTCAATCGTCTGTCCCTTCTCCAGCAGCTCCCAGTGCTTACTGCCTCTTCTGGACCACCAACAGGACAGGAGAACCTTCTCGGTGTGGAAGTCGGTCTTTGGAATGGCTTCTGGCCGTTCTCCTTTGTCGACCCACTGCCGCTTCCACACAGGGTTATAGTAGAGAACCCACTTCTGATCATCAAGTTGAGAAAATGGAGCTTCCTTTAAAAAAAAAGAGAGAAGTGCAGGTGGCCTCCTCTCGAGAGGTCGGACAGTTCATGTTAGACTCATCCATCAAGCTTTGCTACATTAACGAATTGATCCAGTCCACACACAATGGTCGATTGACTATAGCCGAGTATGGTCGTGGTAAGGTACTGGTCCTCCTCCACGATGGAAAGTAATGCTTCCAAATCCAACACAATCGACCGACCAATCCTCGGAGCATCTTCGAGAGAAAAGTCTCATTTTTTGAATTTGGGACCATGCCCTGCGTGTGCGGTAAGACACGACGTCCTCGCAGTATGTTTCTACTAGCTTGCTATGGGCTTCCTTTGCATTCCTGTCGAAATCGTGAAGAGAAAGCAGGCTGTGGCGCAGATACCTTCTGCCACATTGGGAACTGTGCGCATTATCGTCTGCATATGCAGGGTTTGTGAGTGATAGCTAGTGTGATGAAAGAGTATCATGCACAGGTCAGCACGCAAACGAAATAAGAACTTCCGTAGGGGTATCTATGTAATGACAATACCCACGCGTATACGCATAACATGTCCGGCTACCTCTTCCTTGCTTATTTTACCGTAAGGTTGAACAGAACTGTTCGCAGATATTTTACGCGTTCTTTTGTACGAGTTCGAATCCTCCGCTGCTGAAACCCATTGAAACCTGAATTAAACATTGAGTCTTGATGATTTTGTAAAGGTCACTGTGCAATCTTCGTTCCACCGCTTCGAAATCGGAGACAAGAAGGTCGAAGATGAACCTCGATTTGGTCAATCAGCTGCGGTATCCTGAAATCCTGATATTTTATGCGTACAGCAGGGCGTAATGTTCTTCTAAAACATTTTTATGGGAGCTTCTAGAAAGTCCCAGGAGAAATTGAGCTGATGTGAAATTTTCGGAAGATACTTTCTACACAAGCTAATACTTCTAATTACCACTGAAAATCTACTTCGTGGATCTGTCTTAACATCCTACTCTATATGACGCCATCGCAATCGACTTCGTGGATCTGTTTCAACATCCTACTCTATATAACGCCTAAATTCGTTTACTGGCTTTTGGTATGTATGTGTGTCAGTGTGTATGTTTGACTGGGAGCTCATAACTCTTGTTCCCGTAGACCTTGAAGGCTCAAACTTGATAGGAGTACAAGCGGCAGGATGGGAACACCTATGGTCTGTGGCACGACCAGACTCCGCCCACAGGAAGTGAGGTGTGCGCAGAAATTTCTAATTCGGGCCTAAAGCGTTCAAATTTGGTGGGAGTACAGGCGGCAGGATCGAGACACTGATGGCCGATGAGAGGAGGTGACTGAGCTGGACGCAAGAGGGAGTGTGAGGCTGATGACGGGGAAGAGCGTGGCGTGTGTGAAGTGAACAGTACAGTACAGTACAGTACAGCACACTTGGAGTCTGTAGTACAGGTCAAGTTGCAGTTAGTGGGGAATGAACCAAATTTCGCATAAGGGGCGGGGCGCGCGCGAAGCATGTCGGCGTATGTGTGTGGGTGTGTGCTGTGTGTATGTGCGTATGTGTGTTTGTGTGTTTGGCCGGAAATCAGTAACTCCAGTTCTCCTAGGCCAGCATCATCGTAGCGTCTGATTTAAAAGAGTGCAGGCAATGGGTCAGTTCCAACACCTGAAAAAGGAGAGCCTTTCGTTAGCAGGCGATCCGACTTGTTGACTTATGTCTCAAATGTTCACCGGGGTTGTCCCTAACTGTCTTTCAAGTGCTCAGTTCATGATGAAGTCGGACGAGAATGTAGTTGGATGGGAGGGGTATTTGGACGAGCTGTCCAAATGTGTGTGTGTGTGTGTGTGTGTGTGTGTGT